AAATCAGGCGAGCTCGGAGGAGACAACGCGCTCTCGTACTCATATTTTCCTTTTTTCGTTTGTAATCCAACACCCCGTGCACACGACATCTAGCTATACAAGTTTTTTTCCAGAGCTCGACGATCGTGTAATGATCTTGCGCCTGCGATGCAAGGTAGTTTTTTTGTGCGCAATCGACTTTTGCCGAAAAATATATAATACCTCGAATGTGACGCATTAAGGTAGCAATTGAATCTATTAATTTTTTTTTTTTCATTCAGTTTTTTGTTCACACCTCGTGCGAATTACAGAACGGAATTTTCGCAAAGTGCTCGTAACCGACGGCTCGATTGGTCTTTAATGCGGTAGTTTAGTGAATGTGTATATACGACTTTTTCTTTTCATTTTGCGCGGTCAGGTATGTTTTTTGTTCTCAAAGTCGAATGAACGATTTATCACCATTGTATAATCAATCGTGATTTCGCGTGCACATGTGCGTAAGTGTTTTGGTATTCGATTTTGGAAAAAAGAGTAAAAATTATTTCGCCCATTTAAACTCTTCGTATTTGTAAGAAAATTTGTATTTCTATAATTTTCTCTAGGCACACATTAACTGCAATTTTTTGGAACTACGCTACAACCATTTGTGTCAGTATACTTAGTAACGATTTGTAAAAAGTGTAACTAATTATTTCGATTACTACGATCGTCATTTTCCTCTTGCTATTTTTAATCTCCTTTAACAGTTGTAATTATATTTTCTAAACTTAAACCTTGTACATTTTTAATTTTAAGTATTTAGCTAGGTACTTTATGCATGGATGTATTTTATAAAGTTTATTATAAATAAAATAACCAAATTTATATTTATGTACTTTTGAATTCATTTATGTGACGATGTGTTTATAACTTTTGGAATTCATTAATTTGATTTATGTTTAAGTGACTTTTTTAGCATCAGGTCATTCACATTGTTATGGATTTTTATTGTTAAATAAAAAAAAGTATTTTACTATTTTATTGTATCATTGAAAATTCCTATTTGAATAAATTTGCAAACGTGTTTCACTTCCGAGATAACAACTGAATATAGCATGTACGATGAACGAATAATCGTGGCTCGATGAAAAAAAAAATTACTAAATGACACCGAATTACGTAAAGGATAATGCTGCTTCGAAGAGGCAACGTAATTCACAATGCAGACGATTACTTGGTACATTTTTCCAAATCTACGTTTTTATCGTTTTTAACTTTACTCAATGTCCACGTGGTAAAATAACAATACACACCGACATAAAAAAATGGTATTTAGCGATATAATTATTGAGGTAACGTCAGAGTAACATATTTGAACAGTATTCATTGCCCGAGTTGTCTAATCAATAATTTTATTAAAAACTCTATGATGCCCTTTCGACGTTCAAATATTTTGTGATTCTATAATATCTTCAGAAGATATAGTTGTTTATTCAACCGAGAATTGGGATCAATGTTATAAAGAATATAGTATTTAATTTCTTTCAATTCGATGATGAACTTGAAATGTATAAAAATTGAAGTTATTTCTGTGTATCATCAAAATTTTTCCGAATAATATCAAAAGGTCTTATGAAAATTTTCAATTATGATTATAAATAATGAGTCAGCATCGTAGAGATTCGTGATCATTGTTGCCCGCTGACCTTTAGCGCATAAAAATATGCCACGCTTTTATCATAAATTTCATTTTCTTCGTAAAAATACAAAATTCTTTTATTCACATTCTTCATTGAAGCAATAATTTTAGCTTGCTTTACCACTTTTTATATGCGTAAAATTGAAAAGCCTTTCGAAAGTGGAAAATGTTGAAATATTTATTAAATATTAATATTTTATTTTACATCATTGCTATTCCAAAGATAGCGCTTTGGAATAAATAATTTCATTCTCAATCTCATTATTATTAGACACATGGAAATGAAAAAATGTTATGAAGAAGTTATCAAAACTAAAATAATAACAAAAAAACTGCAGTCACAAGAATAAATTGAAACACCTTTAAAATTATACACACTTTAATAAGGAACCTCAGAGCTTATGCAAAGTTCAAGTTACTTACTTCGTGTCTTAATTACTTCGTCCGAAAAAATGTATCCTTATTACGCACAATTCTTTAATTTTAGGTCTGAAAAGACTGTAAAAAATTCATTTTGATGGCTGTAAAAAATCTCATTACGAGTGTTAATGTTTTTCTCGGCCTCGAGATGATTATACAAGTCCAACATTTAACGATTTGTGACTTTTAAAGTTACCATGCTGAAGCTGTCTATTGTATATCTGTACAAACTTTGAACTATTTCAAGATAATGATAATAAACATGAAGAAAAGGAATGGAATAACTGAGTATAAGTATTGGAAACCCATTTTAATAACTCTACTGGGAGATATAATGTTTTAGTAAGCGTTTGTAAATAATTCGTAAATAAATTTTTGTAAAATATTAATTTCAAACTTTTTGCAATTTGCACATTACACATTTTATGTTAAAATGTACCAATAGTTTGTATTTCTCACGCGCAGCTTGAGAAAGTTATCTAAAAGTATATTTTTCTTATCATAAGGTGTGAACCTGTTAAATTTTGCGCAGTAATCATAGTTCTAATAACTATCGGGTGTAAATAATACTATTCTGCAGTACTTGACCCAGTATCAGTTATATATGGAATCGTGTTTATAAACGCCTGAATGAAAAAAGGTATTATAATATGTTTGAACTAATGAAATAACTGAAATCTGTAAAAATGGCACATTTATTATGTTATAAGTGACAATATAATTACTAGTGGTAATGAAACATTTTTTCTTTCGCAATTAATCGAATTATTTCGTGAACTCGTTTAATCCAACTCCGTGATTAATACGGAAATAAACAAATAAATTAATTAATTAATGTATATAATATAGTATGCCTATCAACATAAACTAAGATTTTTCTGCAATAAGTTGAGCCGATTTCTATTTTATTCATCGGATCGCATATCAGATTATACTTTTTTTTCTCTCATACACTGTGTACAATGGTTGAACCAAAATTTTTAGTGGCAAAGTTTTTTATCTGTCAACCCAATGAGTGATTAAAATTTGTTACTTATGCACGGATCGGATTGAATAAATCAGTCAATAAGAATTATTTAATTAAAAACATCACGAAATATTTATAGCACATTCGTGTAATCCGATCTTTTGCTGCATCGGTTATCACACGAACTTCCTCGCTCATTCATAACTTCCACTCAATCGCATTTCCTTTTACTTATTAGATTTGCAATTTAACGTGCACTTTTTTCACCAATCATTCACTTGAACTATCTAAATCTGTCGTCGAGTCTAACTTATACACATAGCTTAAATACTATTTATAGTCATCATTATTTTACATGATTACCTTCGCAAGTCTTCGACACGCACAATTATTGTTTAAAAAAGTATTTATCGCTATTAAGTCTCGTTTTGAATTTGCAAACATAAATGGACCTAGTAAGATCATAAAACAATCGAATATTAATCGTTATTACCGCACCGAGACAGTAATTATAAAAAGTCAAAAGAATCTTAATGATAAATATTACGGCGAGTCAACTCGATCCTCTATTAACATATTCACTTCATAATTTACAACTTTTTCATTCTATTTTCATTCTAAATTTTATTTTATTCAGTTTCTCCTTGCAGCCCTGACGAACGGAGATATACAATTACAAGTAATTATTGTTGAACGAGGTCGCAAGCGACGTTATTGTCTTTATCTCGCGGAAGTCCTCAAGAGTTTCAATTTTGGAACTCTCCTGATCAATGATTTGGCTTTTCTCTCTTACAAGCCACGTGCATTTGCACCATGGTAGACTTTTTTTAGTTGTTTTTTTTTACAATACGTGTCTCGTTTAATTCATTACAAGCTGTAATGAATTGGAATTACTTAACGAAGTAAAATTTGTAATCGAAGCTAAATTATTTCTGTAAGATTGTTTATAAAAAATTATAATTATAAAAACATTGGTCAAGAAACAATAATACTTCGAGAACCTTGTCCGATCTATTCATCAAGTAATTCTCATTTATCTACAGTGAAACGCAACATTTAAAGATTAAAATTTGGCCAAACTATGTATTTTAGATACTAATTAAAGTATAAAATAATTTTATGTACCAAAACATAATCGTATAATCATATGAAATGATAATATTATTATGAATTTGAAATTATTTTCAAGTTTCTATACCTTTGGTCAAACTCTTGAAAAAAAATTTTTTAACCGTATTACACGGTAAAACGAATTACAATTTTTTAAGATATTACAGCGTAGTAGTTCTTCATTCAATATAAATGAGTCGTCGTTAATTTTTTTAGCAATAATCAAGTCGAATTAGATCAAAAAAAGCCTAGGATGTTTTGAAGTCTTGCTACAAGATGCCAGAGGAACTTCAGCAATACGTTGAATACTTATAATATGAGGAAGTACGACTTCCTGTTCGATATATTTATAATACATCTTTTTGCCACCAATATATCATACACTAATTTTTGTATTTAATCTTTATAAAAATTGATCATGAGAACGTACACTGGCGCGAATATTACATGATTGTATATAATTAAATTAAAGCCAAATCAATGAAATGAAAGAAAAGGAAACCTTCATTTTCAAATATCACAATGTAATAGAGCACAGGTGTAATTAGCATCCACTTTTTTCGGAATGAATTCCTTTCTTCTTTCTCATCTAACGAAAAAAAAATACTATTCAACATTCCAGCATTATGATCACAGTTGAATAGTGAAAATAAGGTTTGAATATAAACTCAAATGAACTAAATTTTGATACAAGTTTATGTTTACGAACCCAATGAAAATTTTTTTCTAGGCAAGTAATTGAGTACACGTTTGAAAATGGCAAATGATCGTGAATGTCTTAATGTTACAAATGCTTACAGATGTTTTAGCCACAAGTACATGATCAGAACATCATATTAACATATGTTTTTTCGTTTTCAAATAAACATATTTTATTGATTTTAAGCTGCCTGTCTTCAGCAATTTCCAATATTTATGAGTACATAATTGATTAAAAAATTGAATAAATACTTGCTTTTTTCAATAATGTGTAAAGTCAACACAATTTAATCAACTCATTCTCTTGAATTACAAAAATTCGGATAATATATCCAATATTAATATTTCTTTCAGAAATGCAATGAATATACATCTTTCTGATCGATATGTAAAATCAATAGTCGTTTACTATTGAAAAGTCAATACTAGATAAATTACTTCACGTACTTTCATTCCTTTTTTTTTGTTTTCAAGTACGTTTTTTAAATCAAAGTTTTGCATCAAATAGATAATATTTCTTCGGGACGCAGGATTTCCTTTTCTCTCACAATCTTTATACACAAATGTTGTTAAATGATAATTTACAACTAGTTATTGATGGAAAATGTCATAAAAATCATTAATGGTAATAGAGCAAAAATAATTATATGTGGCAATTTTCATCTTAAGTGTATTACAGATTTGGTGTGTATCACACTATATATATATAATATTTACAATATGCGCATGATATGTTAAAACTAGTTTGATGGAAGTCTTGAATTTTTAAAATATTTTTCACAATTCACTCAGATCTACATCGTATATAAAACATTTTAATTGAGTGATTTCAAGTTTCACATTTACGTTAAACAAAACTGATAAACGAACAAAATTCGAGATTTCAATTAAATAAACAAAAGAACATTAAAAATGTATTTAATACTTAAATATTTCTTATATATGAGATATACAACGTCTTTATATCTGAACGTTTGAATTTTTCAACATTTTTTCATACTAAGAAATTTTTTTTCATAATAAGAAAAAATTGTTCAACTTAGTCAATCGCTTACAATCGTGAAGTTAAGCGTCGAACAATTACAATTCAACATTCATCGTTTAAGTGAAGGGCGGATATACAGAAGACAATGCCGAAATATAGCTAGTAAAGTTTATAGCTATTGGCGGCATCTCAATGACTTATAAAATCATTGCGCTATAGAACAATTTTTGCTACTGTTGCTGGGGCGAACTATGAAGAAGAGTTACTTGAGGACCCTGAAACATAGTAATTTAATTACTAAATTTTAGTGCCAAATTAATTTTCCTCTTCAATTTTACTTTCTTAAAAAAAACTACTGATTTTCCGCGAATTTACAGTTCCCGCGTTAATTGAACTATACAAGCATAGTTCACAACTACTGAAACTTTTTATTGTTGTTAGATTTACATCCAACTTACAGGCATTGCTGGAAAAGGCGCCTGCGTATGCGCATGAGGATGTGGGTGTGGATGAGTTATGTGTGATGCAAGATGTCCTGGAATTTTTGGTCCATCTTCAGCTTTTTCTTCTTCTCTTCTTTTTAAGCACGCAGCCTTAGGGTTCAGATTTCTCTCTGTAATAAGTTTATAAACAATGTTAATCTAATTTGTCATGAAAATTTAAGCCATAATGGATTGCGATTATGAAAAGTGCAACATTGTGAATGTTATTTATAAAATTGATATTTTTTTACCTCTGACTTGTTGTTCTAATTCCATGATAACTTCTACAGCCATATTTAGAATACCAAGTTTCGTTTGAGGCTTCTCAGATTTCATATGAACCATACACATTCGGCCAAGCTCCTTTAAAGCCTCGTTGATGTCTCGTATGCGTATCCTGCATAGAAAATTAAATTCAACCATGTAATAAATTTTTGTCCTTTGTTTTGAATCAAAATAAATAGTGTAGTGTCACTGAAATACGTTTAACAGAGCTGTTTTGAATACGGGCCAACACTTAAATATAAAGTACAACGAAAGATGATAAAATAAAAAAGTGAATGGTACTCCGCGCTAACTCAAAATATCTTTTCTTCGACTGTTCTTGTTATAGCACAGTGCTTACCTCTCACGGGCATTATTTGCTTGTCGTCGTTCTTTTTCTCGCATTGCTTTTACACCAGGATCGTCATCGTCGTCTTCGGCGCTCGAACAACAGTGGCGTAAAAAAATACTCAATTAATTACCTGTATAGTATAGTTTCTTTAAAAATAAAAATTGTTAGCAGAATCATAAGCGATCTTTTTATTTAATAAATCTTGAAAACGATTATGATTCCACCTTTTTTAAAGAAAATTCTAGTACAAGTTGTTCGAGCGATTGATTTACGTACACCTTGTTATCGACTATTATGCTCATTTTCAATACGTTATTAAATTGATACATACAGTCAAGTGAACACACGCAAAGATTCGTAGATGAGATTTGAATGGGTTTTAAAATTTTAGCTTAAAATAATTAAATTCAACAGGCCCATATTCTTTGTTTCTGCAGTGAAACGTATGCTTGCAGTGACATTGTTACGACGAGTAGGTGGTGATATTAGTATATTTACATATGTTAGCTTTCAAAAAATAAGAATAGTATTTTTAAAAACTTAAAAATTAGAATCTATAAATAAAAGTAAATAAATTTATTTCTTGCGAGTGTAATTTTTATTTAATTCTCAAGAGAATGCCGAAGTTTACATAAAAACAAAAATTTAAAAAAATTTTTTTTAATTCATTATTTCTACTAATTATTATTTCTTCTGCAGTTCATGGTTACTTTTACAACAATAAAATAAAAGTCACCACAGAATTTCAGAAAGTGTGGTCGATAATGCTCACCTGTACTTTCGGTATTCTCTATTCTAAAATAAGGATTTCATAAAAATCAATTTAAAAGAATAAAATAATATGAAATAATGAATTAACAACTAAAGGAAAATATAAAAAAAAAATTTATACAAAAAGTTAAGTTTGAGAAAAAATTCAGCCAACTATATAAACAGATATGAGAATAAAATAAAAGAAACTTCAAGATTTATTTAGATTCATCGCGATCCTAAGGCCTAAATATTACTCGCATAGGTGTAGAATCAAAGTCAAATTATTTTTTTGTTAATAAGATCAAGCAAGTGCCGATTTTTTGAAAGCTCTTTTTGAATATTACAGGCAATGAGGAATGGAAGGAAGATGCTTTATTAATTGCGTGCGTTCACTAACCTCTCGCGAACGTTGTTGGCTTGTCGACGTTCTTTTTCACGTACCGCCTTAGTACTAGGATCGTCGCAGTCTTCATCGGCGCTCGAACAACAAGTTTAAAGAAAAAAAATGGTTAGATTTGTGAAAAATTGTCCAAATCAAATGTAACGTGTCGTATTAACATGCGTTAATCAATGCTACATTCGATCTTGCGTTGGAAGTTTGATCGTTAAAAAAAATAGTATGTAAAAAGAGATGAAGCTTACTATCGTCTCGAACGCTTCGCAGCCTTTCCAATGGCTCCTGCAGCTGCAGCCGTAAGATCTCGTCCCGACGGTTTAACTTCAACAGCCGGATTTGAGTCTGGAACATCTTTTCTTTTATCAACACTGACGTATTCTAAAAATAAGAAATTAAATAAATACTCAAATCCGAATTTGAGATTCATTTAACTTGAATAGTTTTGTAATCGTAATTGTTGAACTTACTTGTGTTATTTACTGGCAACCTTTCAATTTTTATTGTGCCATCGGTGTCAGACGTTGGTGTAAGGTATGAAGGTTGTGTTTGTGATACTGTTACTGCAGAATGAGGGTTCGCCATGTGATCTAATGGTTGTGGAGATGTATGAGAATAAATTGCACCGTGAGGTCCAACTGGGCCAACTCCAAGATGTAGCCCAGGTGGACATTCTGCAATGTTCCTCAATACATTGATCGCATCATCCATGTGATAAGGCTCTTCCAATCTCGGACCCTGGAAAAAGCGTTGAAATAAATGTTAAGATTTTTAAAAAAGTTAATCTTCACTAGCATAGACCGATACTGATGAATTCGTTACATTTATATGTACAAAGTTTTAGTAAATTTCTCAAAGCCTGCGATAGTTTATAATGATTGTAACTTATTAAACGAGACTTGTGATCATTCAATGCACTTAAGTCACGTGAAGATTTGTTAGATAGAACAAACTAGCAATACAATCAATTATAAAAGCTAAATGAAAATAAAACTATGATTGAAAGATGAAACAGAAATTAATGAATGGGTGTGGAAACTGATGTTTTGTGATCCTCACCTTGGAGTGGCCGTGAAGATAGCCGATGGCATCGTCTACTCCTTGAAGTTCAGGTGCCGGCTTCACACAAAACACCAATGCAACAAAAACAAAAAACAACAACCAAGTCAAACAAAACGTTTGCAAACAGCAGTTGAAAAAAAAAAGATTCTAGTTTGAAAAGCAAATGATAAGTGAGGTGTGCGATGTTAAATACTTTCACAAATGTATGTTACGAATAATATAGCTACCGTATAATACATCTTATTCATATATTCATTTGCATTAGTTCATAATCGTTACTAAACTCAATTTTTCTTTCTTTTTAATAACTCTGTACTATGCAAAATATTTGCATTTTCAGATGAATGATTTGAGGGAATCAATTTGACGATTTTATGAAACTCTTCGTACCAGAATGACCTTGTTGATGAAATTAACCACGACAGTAATGATTTTATGATAAGAAAGCTCTTTGAGTTGAGGATGTTTGCTCGCACATATACAATACACATTTCATTGTAATCAGAAAAATGTATAATACAGAAAAATAAGTCATTTGAAAAATAAATTTACCTAAGAAAACCATGTTAATTTTTATTGCAAAGAGATCAAAGATAATGAATGAATAAGAATATGTCGCAAATTATTAAAATGATTAAAAAAAAGCAATTGCATTCAATGTTCGAACATAATTTCCAATTAGTGCATCTATTTAAAATATACTTTATGCTAACTACAGAATGAGTGTGAATTGCAAAATGGATTTTTTTAATATTGTGGATAAGAAGAGAAAGATAGAGAGAGAAATGCGATACGAAAAAATTAGGACACAATTGTACTTAGAAAAGTGAATATATGCACACCATGTGAGAGTTTGCTCGGTTCGGATCCGCTGCTATGTGCGGCGAAACCGGCGCAGCTCCAGATACCCAGCCAGACACCGGTCCGGCCAAAGGCGGAGGCGAGCTCACGGGCGTCGAAGGATTACTGCTATAACTCGACACAGACTGGTCGGTTGGATAGATCTGCGATGGTAAGAAAGGTCAAAGCGTTAATACATATCGAGTGTCAATTTTTCTTCCTACTTTTACAGTTTTTCTAGTAAGCGTATCATCCAGAATATTCCAATTAATTTTTAATTTTTCAAAAAGAGAAAGTTATTTGCTCATTTCATTTTTTGTAATCAAACTTACATGAGGCTAAAGGCAAGAAAAAATATTAATGAAACAATTAAACAATTAAACAATTGAACAATTGAGCAACTGAACATTAAAATTGTAACGAGTTATTATTTCAAAAATCTTGTAGTGATCTTTTTTAGTTGTTCTGAGGGCCACTAGAGAGTTTTGTAAGAAAAATATTTAGTAGATAGTTGAATTAACACATTTGTTTCATTTCAATGATGATTTTGATGCCCTGATATCGATAATATTTATCTGAGCAAAATATTCGATAATGAAGTCTAAAACATTGTCCATATCGCATAAGAAAATCATAGCTTGCCAACAAGAAATCAACATCCTTAGCCTGTGCGTAAAAAATATGTCAAAATGTACTTACAACGGTGGAGAGATTTTTGTTGAGATTGTCTTGATTCGAAGACGGCTGCGGAGGCTGATTACTGACGGTATTCTGACTGGCTTGTTGCTGCGCTGCAGTAACCACGGGAGTAGCGCTGGGCGCCACCGGAACTGCAACCGGCGCTCCAGGACTATGACTGTACTGCAGTGCGACAGGCGAGGAGGATCCTTGGCTCGCCCCTGGTGCCTGCTGTTGCCCAGGCACCGGCATGGCCGCTGCCACACTGCCGCGGAATGACGACATCGGCGGCAGCGAGGCGGCCGAGGTCACCGCCGAGCCCAGGATCGGCTGGGCCTGGGGCTCACCGTTCGGAGACATCGTCGGGTATGTCTGCAAGGTCAAGTATGCTTTAGTTCTCGAGTCTAACGAGTGGCGACAATTTTATAAAATACTTTTAAATCATTTCTTGTGCGTGAGGGGAAAAAATATAAAAAAATGTAACATCAAACAAATTAGAAATTCTATGTTCTTCGATGTAAAAGAAACGACATCATACAATTACTAGAGTTGTAAAATTAAATTAATATTTATTATGACTTCGAGATTTCGATTGCTTGACTGCACAAGTGACATTGAAGAACGAGTACAAATATTACATGAATTTCATATATTTAGAATAAACAAAATGATTTATTGATTGACACAAAATTACTCATTTTTGCAAATAAATAAATAAAGAAAAAACAGAAGAGTGAGATTATATTAGACTTTAACACTTCTTTAATCGTAAGCATTTTATATTTTTTCCATTTATGTTCATTTTAAATGAAAGTCTCAGTTGTGAAATAATTATTTTGCTCAAAATAAGTAGGACGTTTTTAAATCAAAATCATAAAGCAAAAACCAAAAAGATTAAACAAATTCAACAAATTTAAAAAGATTACTATTATACGAGATGGGACATGCGTTTTTATTTTTATAATAACAATAATATAACAATGTCGTTGGTTGATAGGTGCGAGTAGACGATGGTTCAAAGGTGAAAAAGTATAGGCTGGTTGCTGTCTACGAGTAGCTGCTAAAGTAAAGAAAGGATGTAAGAAAGAAACAAGAGTACGGCTGGCGTGCAGTTCCACGAGTGCACTGACCTGGTCTGCGCAAACTCGACGACAGACGGGCCAAAAGCCACAGGGTGGTCCTGGCTCGCTCAAAATAAAAAAGACAAAGAAAGCATCGAAAAAAAGCGAACACCGAAAAGATAAAAATGTCGAGTTTGTGAAGAAAGAAGCAGCAACGTTAGAACGGCAGAGAACTGCTGCCTCTCATTCTCCCTCGCACTCTGTTCTGCGCCGCCGCTGATTCTCCCCCGTGCCAGCTGTTCTCTGTCCAATATTTTGAAGCTCAGGTAAAAGGAGCGAGAGAGAGAGAGAAAGAGAAGCGCTTCTGCTTTTTTTCTCTCCGGTCCTCCTCCTATACTACTCGGTTTCTTTCTTTTCTTCTTTTTGTGTGTGTGTGCCTCGGCGCTCTCGAACGACACTCCATCTCATTTATTCGCTTTAAAAATTGCACGCGACTCGCTTCTGCTGTTACGAGCGGGAGAGAGAGAGAGAGAGAGAGAGAGAGGTGAGCAAGCGAACGAGCAAATGAGCGACGTAATATAGTAAAAAAAAGAGAGCAGGGAGTGTGAGAGGGAGGCAGAAAAGAGTAGGTATAAGGTTAAATTCGATACCGCAGCTAGCAGCATGGGGTTCATCGTGCTCTCGACCAGATGCATTTTGAGGTTTTAATCTCGACCGCCCACGCACTGGACGAGCATCATTATAGAATAACTGTGCACCCGATATTAGACAACAACAAATATTTTGCTAATAATTTAAAATAATAAAACGTAAAAGAACTCACCATCGGGTCGTGTGGTATGTGCATCGGATAAGCCGGTTGAGCCAAATGAGGCGGCGCGTAACTGTTGTAGGGTGGCTGAACACCGCCAGTGGCGTTGTTCCATGGATCACCTGGGCCCGATCCTGCACCATTGCCATCTGCAAAAAAATCGAACGATTTTTATTATGAATATTGATTAACCATATCGGTACATAATGACCCTTTAGTAATAAAGTTTAAGCACGTGCAATTGTCCACGTTGCTTTCTTATATAAGCGTAACGGTGCAAGCTGATTTTAGAACAGGTTATACAGAAACAACTCTTGCAAATTGTATCCATCAATGAGAGAAATTAAGGGATCGACGAGAATTAATATTATTGATTGATTCATTTTTACCGACGTATTACTTCAATAGCTGCTCGAGTGCATCGTGAAAATGTATGTAAATCTCATATATTCTTCGAGTACTTTCAAAAATTGTTCTTTTCTCTCAGTTACTCAACAAGTATTATGAAGAAAATAAAGATAAAAACACGAATAATGATTGAATCTACCTCAGACGCTTTGTTTGCCATAATCGAATAAAGTGAGTGTGAAAACGATTAAAACCATTAGAAAACGTGACACTTTTACCGTGTTTTGTCGCGCGTCTAATATATTGTAAGCCAATTATCGTTTAAAATATTGGTACGCCTTGGTAAAGTCGTTTGTAAAGCAAATGGTTTTTTGAAAAATGAATGAAATTCCATGGTAGCATGGACTTTTTAAGAAAAAGTATGAATTAATTTATGGTACAGTAATTCAATTTGGCATGGAATTCTCTATGGTGTTAGAAATCCGAGCGGTCATTCGATATAAATCTGAAAACAAAAGGCGTCACGAAGCGCACATGTCGGACCAGACACGCGGTCATCGATCTTATTAAATCGCCTTGTGTATATATATAGTCTAGGTAGAAAATTTCTAACAGCGACTCGCGAGTTCAATATAATGATTTTTAAAATAAATCTCTGCCTCCGTGCACACATTGTATCGAATGCGATGAAAATATAATGTAAAATGACGAATTGAAATGTGAATACGCGGATTAGAGATAATACAGTGAAACCTGCTTATACAGTGGAACTCCGGTTAAATAGATCATACACAAATTGAAAATAAAATGTTGAACAATTTTTTTAGACAGCCAGATTTCCGTTCGAATTAATCAGGATTTTTTTTCAAGATTGTTTTAAACGGGAACGCGATATAAGTAGTAGGTTCGAATCCATCAGGTTTCACAGTTGTAATTAATCTCTTGCGGACTTACCGATATAGTAGGTATCCCCATAGAGAGTTGCACCTTTTGGCGAAGTGTACCTTGGCGAGTCTTGTCCAAATTCGTCTGATCCATACTGTAAAGAAAAAAGAAAAAAAACAAATAAGTAAATGAAACATGAGCTATATAGTTATATTCCATCAAGTCTCGATCCATACGGAAAACGATCATTGATATAAGATTACTTAATATTAAGTAGAAATATGAAACGCTGAGCAATAGCCGAGGCGAGTCAATACAGTAAAGAGCGCGCAAAGAGCCCAATACAATGTATTAACTAGTATCGTAAAAGTACGCGAGCCACTTCAAGTGAGAGTTGGTATTCAATACATAGGCCGAGAACGCGTCCAGGCGCTAAATACGCGGTGTGCAGGCAGTCTGCGGTCTGGTTATAAGCCTCGGCTATTCTGCGATCGCACCGCACAAGTATTTGTTTATATATAATGTATTGAAAGCATCGTTGGCGAGTAGCAGCAGCGACGGCAGCTCGGCGGCACGCGACTCCGACACGTGTGCAATATACTATATATGCGGAGAGTAGAGCGGCCGCAGGGGGGACCGTAGTAATAACTGCCGTAGTGGATTCGCGATCTGTTCCGTATTAGTTGCCGTGTTGATCGGGTAAAAACCCAAGCGCCAATAACCACATAACACAGTCTATATATGTTTTAATATTATCGATCACATATTGGTCGGCCGACTTTGGCATGACGAATTCGCGCTAAGGCGACAAAGCGTACGTTGAGCCGTCGTTTAGCGCTGTTGCCTGCACGCACGCACGCATAGCGTATCAATCGACGCGTGCCTCGGTGTGTGTGTGTGTGTGTGATCGTTAAAACCGCACTTACACGTGCTTTTGTTTACTTTGCTCGTCGCGACGACACTCCAAGATGTGCATACATAGATATATACTTCGATATACACTCCTTAATTGGATTGATACGCCGAATTAAACGCTGGAGAACATTGGACAATAGTTTTCGGAGCGCGTGACAAAAAAAAGGTGGCGCTAATAGATTCCGCCTTTCAGGCCAGCAGCCATTCCGATCATTTTATATGACTATGTGCTAGAATGATAAATTGTGGTCGATGGACAAGCGTCATTTTATTCATTTTCCACAATGCAAGTATATAGATCAGGCGTGAAGTCGAGAACGGAGTAACGAACGATCGGGAGCGGCAATGCACTCACAAATTCAATATTTATTGCGAAGGTCATGTGTGGATGGATCAGTAAAGGTGAGATGGAATATGAACGAATCAATTGAAAAGTGGAAAAGTATAGGAAGGTAAAAGTCGCAAAGAGCCAACGAATCTCTTGGTCGAGGAAATTTGCAGAGTGAATTTCTGTGCAACAGCAGCGAAAAGTCGGAGCGCGTCCTTAGTTCGGGCCAAGAATAGCACACGCATACACGTATACACAGACGAGTGCGATCTACTACGGTACACACACATACACTGCACAGCGCAGTACTTATATTCCTATGTATGGGGTGTTCTTTTGGAGAGAAGCAGGACGGCGTCGTTGCACACGGACGCACACATAGTGACGCGAGCGAATTAAATGGCCGTTGGAAAGTAGAAGGTAGCTTATTTAAAATCGTACCATTTTGCAATTGTTGTCGTAGTCTGGGGGACTGGCAAACATTTCAGTCTCTCTCGCGGACGCCGTCGTGAAGACTCTGCACTGGTTGATTACAGACTCATGTAAGATCGCTCCGACGCTCGATGATATCGCAGAAAGGAGTCAGAGCAGCGCGCCAACGGCTGCTGCAACTCTTCGCACGCACACACCGTTATAATCGATTCTCTGCGGAACGCAGTGGTATAATCGGCGTGTGGGAGTCGGCGGGCGCACACGTGTCCAACGACTGCAGCGAATTTTGAACGGCGCGAATGCCGCACGCTTCGAGCACACGCACACACACGCACACTTTATGATACGATGATGCACTCTAAAACGGAGCTGTCGAGCTCGATGCACTTTGCCACACACTCACAGCTATATGCATAAGCAACATGCACGAAAGAGCGAGGTATGTTACGGTAGTAGTAGTACCTCGGGATCACTGCACTCGTGTATTATTATATGCACGACACACAAGAAGGGATCACACAGCAGCGTAGGCCCCGACGGACAGAGACGCGCTGAACTTGGCTCTAGCGCTCTGCAGCTGAATCCGAAGCGGCGGTTTTCGCGCTGGGCTTGTCAAAACTGTTGCGAAGGTAAACAGCCGCACGGAAGTCGGTGCATTCACCACGAGAAAGGTGTACAGGACACACGATTATGACACACATACACACACCTTCGTTGGCGATAATGGAGAGGAGCAACGAAGGGAACAAAAAAAGCGTAGCACTAAAGCACTAAGGCACTGCACGGCGCTCAGGCACTGTTAAAGTAACTATATAAATGCTGTGACTGTCGAGCGTAGTAGTTGAGCCTAGCACTAGCAGTTAGAAGCTGCCTACTAGAGACGAGGTTCGGAGTAGCAGCAGCAGCAGCGGCAGCAGTTGCAGAGCGACGGTGGCGGCGGCGGCGGTGACGGCCACGGAAGAGGGGAACGAACGGCCCGAGTCTGAGTCGGTCGGTGCGCCGCGCGGGGGAGGGGAAGGGGGGGGGGCAGGCAGGCAGGCGAAGAGAAGGGATAGGCGCGCGCAAGACTCTCGTCGGATAGCGGAGGGGAAGTCGGGGCTCGACGGGGTTCGGGACACACTATGCCAACGAGCAGCGGCGCACGCCAACTATATACGAGCGCACGACCGACGCATGTATATACATCCACTGTAGTAGCGAGCCGCTTACATATACAACTCGTTCGCGTGTATACAGCCTATACACACGGGATCAAATGTAAACTTCCCTCGTCGTTGTCTCAATCTTGAGTCTCGGTTTGGGCCGACGTTGCCGATGCTCCTCTTTGTGTCCGGGCGCGACGTTTTCTGGCGCGATACATAAATTTCGAGCCTCCTCTGGGCCAGCTGCACGTGCAATTTATACCACTGCAACAGGAGGCAGAGAAAACTCCACTTGTCGAGTCTCTGCGTGACAAGTTTTTTCGCAGATTCAGTTCTCAGCCGCGGCTACGAAGCGAGCGATATTTGCGAGTATACGCGTATTTTATATTTTCTCCACCCTCCAAAATTACGTAGGAAGGAAAAACGAGGGCGAATTTTGGCGAGGCGCTCTGGCTTGGCAAATTCTAGCGCACAACTGAAACTCGGCAGCAGCAGCAGCATCGAGTCGAGTCTTCGTAGTTTGCTCCTGAACTCCAAGGCATATTGCTATATACTTGCTCGCTGCCGCTGCTGATTCTCTTTCTCTTCTCTATTCTCCTCCGTACAGCCACTACTTCCTCTGTGCTTCCCCCACCCGAACCACTATATAACGCTCGGAGTCGCGCGCGCCATACCAGCCGACCATCCATCCATCTCTCTCTTTCTCTTTCAAACTTTGCGGAGGGGTATGAAAAGAGAACGAGAGAACAAGGGGGACTGAACGGTATGAATCGCCTCGCTCTCTCTCTCTCTCTCTCTCTCTCTTTCCCCGTTTCTTTCTTTCTCTTGCTCTCTGTATATACCGACCAACGAACCGAGACTCGCGCGACAAAAACTAAAGTACATAGCACGAGGAGCAACGTATGCAAGCAATTTCATTTCATAAACATACAACCGGAGAATAGCGTATCTCTTTATATAAGCCTGTACGCACGCATACGACACCAGCTACGCTCCACAATGCTGCATGGTGTAGTCCGAAAATGCTCTCGCCCGTCCTTTTAAATTTCTGCTAGTTTTTCGATTATTTGCGCGTTTTAATCCACTCCAATTCGTGCCTTCGACTCATCAATGCATTTAATCGATCGTTAGGCATTTATGTTATTTAAAGCTGAATGATCGCTTGGATCAGTAGCAGATCGGTATAAGAAATATAAGAAGGGCCGAAAAAGAAAGCTCCAAGTTTTTTTTTCAGCTACGTGTATGCGTTAATGCATTATATACACTACAGCTGGATTCATCCCGTAAGCCGAGGCGGTATGGTACGTGCAAGTAGCTCTCGCGGGAGGTATAATTTTTTCACCCCAAAAGCCGAAGCTCGGGCTCGAACACGGGCCCATTGTCGAGCGTCTATACTACTAGCAGCGGCCGCCGCGGCTTCGTTAAGGCGCAATTTGTGCTCGTGGCTCTTGCAAAAATTCTAAAGGGGCCGCGCTCGCGCGCGATTAGCTTGGAGCGATAAGGAAAAAGGAAACGCGGATGTTACTGCTCGCGCTGTTTTATAGTGCAGCAGTGTGTGTGCCGCGACTCCAACTCGCGCGCGCAGATTCTTTATATATATTTTCTCTCTCTCTCGTCGGCGCAAGGAAAGATAAAGAATCGTGATGCCAGGCTTTTTCTATTAAGCCACGGCGTGTGTGCGCCTGCATGTGTATACTTTTCAGCTTCTCTTCTCTAAACCCATCTATTCTCGCGCGCGGCTTCTCCATTTATAGAACATTTTTATAACAGCACTCGAGGGCCACGGCAGACGCGAAACGTTCCACACACGCTACAGCGGTGCAGGCGCTTGATCGTTAGTCATTAGGCGATCGCGTATATCATGCCCAATTTGCTAGCAACGAGATATCACTGCTATGGCTTTCGCATCGTCGATCGATCCGCTCACCTATTTGTACACTTAAAAGCACACTCATTTTCACACAGTGGCAGATTAACATGTTCTGCGACACGTCTCCGTACGCAGGTTTATTACCACGCACTGTCACCATCGAGGATCGCGAGCCGATAATAAAAATGTCAGCTCCGAGCTGTATAAGGCAAAATAGCCGCCGCGTGGCTCTACTTTTGTGGTGTGAGAATTGCGACCTATGCGCGAGCCATGCGGTATATTATAGCTGCCGAGTCGTACGAGCTGTGAGAGATGGCCAGCACCCACCAAAGGGCGCATATCAGAAATCTCAATATTGTGTCCGCGCACATGTAGCCCATGCTTATTCTTACTGTATGCACATTCGAGTTAAGGCGTCAGCGATTTCTCCCAGCAGCCAATATAAATGTCTTACCATTGATTTACTC